ATACATTCCGATACATTCCAATACATTCTGGGGAGTATGAAAAGTAAGGCCAATACATTCCGATACATTCCAATACATTCCGATACATCTGAACACTGCGCAAGGTTTCTTGAAAACCCTTGGTCATAACAAGCGTCCCTGGGGCCGCTTGCGTGTTTCTTTCTTTACCGCTGCAGTAGCGTTCTTTCATTTGAGCGCCTCACCAGGTTTCATGATGTCGTTCTTGAGGTTCTCCAAGATAGGGCGGTATTCGATGAAGGTATTTGGAAAACAGCAACCGATCCAAGACGAACGCGCAAAAAAGGCACAACAGAGCGTCCCCGGGGCCGCTTCACAAAGCAGACTCATCACACAAACGCATGCGTCCAGATATATCTATTTGAATAGTGTTGTTGAGAAAAAAAGAACACAAGTCGAACTTTTCATATTGAAGGTTAAAAAAAGTGGAAACTATATACACAAATAGCTATATAATAAGTAGAAATTAGCTATAAATTAGCTAGAAATAGCTAGAAATTACCTAGAATTAGCTAGACATAGCTAAAAACTAGCTAAAAATAAGTAGAAAATAAGTAGAATATGTAGCCTCCAACATAAGTACTATAAGTTCACAAGTTACTACTATGTTCCATAAGTAGTACTCTGGTACTTATTGAACTTATAAGTTACAATATGAACTTATAGAACTTATAACATAACTTATAGAACTTATAGTGCAACTTCAAGTTACTTGTCACAGCTCAGCTAGCCACAAGTACCACAAGTCACGAAGTACTTTCCTGGTGCCAGGTATGAACAGTCTGAAACGGGGAAACTGGCACGGATGTGTTGTTTGTTGTCTTTTTTCTGGTTGGGGCCTGATTCCTGCCTGGTCCGTTTTTTTTTGCTGGCTTCTTTGGCTTCTTTGCTTCTTTGGCTACTTGGAATCTTTGCCCTTTTTTTGCCTTCTTGGCTTCTTTGGTTTCTTGGAATATGTGCCTTTTTGATCCTTTTTGGATTCTTCTTTTTTTGGCTTCTTGGACTCTTTGCATTTTGTTGCTTTCTCTTTTTGCTTCTTGGATTCTTTATTTGTTGACTTCTGCGCTTCTTTGGATTCTTGGCTTGTTTGGTTTCTTTGGCTTCCAGGTCTTTTTGGTTTGGCATCTTTGGTTTCTTGAATTTTTGGCTTCTTCGCTTTATAGCTTTGTGGTTTTCTTGGCCTTTCGACCACAGCGACCGCCACCGCAGCAATTGCCACTTTCAGACGAAGAAACAGAAGGAGATGATTAGGCATATAGTCTAGTGTATATAGGAACAAGATTTCAACTCGGAACAAGAATAGACAGTGAATAAACACGAATGCAGTCATATCGATGACGATGATGATGATGATGACAAACAGGATAAACAAATGTACACGCAGAGACCAAGCAGACAACGAGAACAAAGAACAAACACAACTACACGGTGCTATGATTTGATATGATTTGCTATGATATGATTTAATGCATGATATGATGCTGTCAAGGATGATAAACAAGAATGAACAAGCACAGAATGAGATACAAAATGCCAACGAGGACAAAGAGAACTACCCCAACGATTCCCGCTCACATGGCATCGGTTGGCTTTAGCCCCGCCGACTTCGCGCAGCCACGAAGTCTGCGCCGTCGGCATCTCGAAGTACTTCGCCAGCCCCCTGTGACAACCATATTGGGCGACAGCCAAAACCGAACTACCAGACAGCAACAAAACAAGATGCTGAATTCTTCAAGTATGCTAAACAACGCCGTAATCGCTAGCAGCAACAACAGCATCCAAAAACGTCAGGCTTTGAGGTCTACTGGCAGCTATCGCGTGTGCTGCGCCATTGGTTTTGTGGCAGCTATAGGGCTTGCAACTGGATCTAGCTCATTGTGGCTGTGCCACTAGGATTCTGTTGTTGTCATTTTGGGGGGGGCGCAGGTTCTTGCTGATAATACAGATGATTGTGCGCAGTGCTCGGGCCACCTGGGCATATGAAACAACACAGTACTGAAAACCTGTTTGCCATTGTGTTTTGCACTACCTGATGTGACTTACCGAACATGTGAATTCTTGGTTTTGGCTCTGTGCCAGTAGGAGATAGGACTTTATACCGCCTGATGTGCGTTCAACCCGACGCTAATACTATATAACACAATGGAATATATTTGCAGACACTCCACGGCTCAACCATCCTCAACCCTTGGCAGGGTGCGCTGGAGACGGTGTTGAAGCGTGAAGATGGGAGCCAAGTGGCCCCTCGGCGCGTTTTCGACGGAGGGTGGGGGTGGTACGGCGCTGCGCGTGAAGGCACGGGATGAGTCGTAAGTGAACATTCTGACTGATGGGTGTATTTTTTAAAGGGAGATACTCGGAGACACCCAGCCAATACCTAGATCTTCAGTTCGGCACTTTTACAAAGTCCGGCGCCGGACTTCCAACTCCGGTGTTTTTTTATGGATTTGGTCCAGCAGTTTTTTTCAAGTCACCTTATTATGTGGATTCTCAAGGCTTGCATTCTTTGTGGTCCGTATTTCTTTGAACTGATGCAATGATTTTGCTTGCAAAGCGTACTCGTTTGCCTGTTCCGCTGTTTTCTCATTCCCCCGGTTTCAGCATGGATCACACTGGATCAATCAGATCCGTTTATCTTCTATAAATGAAATCGGATGAAATCGGTACAGTGCGATGAAAGTGTCGAAAGACCCAAGTGGGTGTACCTAAGCTGAAAGAACATAGGCAAAAATGTACTCTCATTGTTTCAGGATGTCGGGGCGCTGGGATATAGTTCTAGCTGCGCAGGTTTGCAGAGCCTGCCGGACAAGTTGTGGGCTGTGGAACATGTGTTGTTCAGAATCTCAATTTGTGCAGAGAGTTGCTTAAAGAATGGCGCGTCGTAACTCCGGCGCAATTTCCCGTAACTCCGGCATAATTTCCCGTAACTCCGGCGTATTTTTTTGACTCAGTCTTCTGATGGTTTTGAATTTTGAACCAGTTTTTGACAGGAACCATGAGTTCTGCTACATTGGGTGGCCGTCCCGAGGCAAGCTTTAAAGTAAGACACACTAAAAAAACATAAGAATCATTCAGAATTCTTGGGAGCAACCCACTTTGTAAAAAAAATAGAGGCACGGTTGCAGAGAAAGAGTGGCTCCTTGCCACATACTCCTTGGTTTCTTCTTGCAAGTCTTTGCTTGGGCACAAGTTTGCTTCTATTTTGTGATGGTTCTGCTCTTAGGCCATTCGGAAGATGGGCGAGGGCAATGGGAACGGGAAGGCTCCAGTGTTGGGTTGTGGAAATAGTGTGCTCCAGAAAAACTACTCGCGGCGCAAAGGCAGTTTGCTTGTGTATGATCCAACCTTTTATCATGTCTGTTTTTCAGATTCTTGGATCCAGCTTTTTTTTTCAGGTCTCCGGCGTTTTTTTTTTCGGAATCCGGTGGACAATTTTGCCGGATTGAGGTAAGTTGAGGGTGACGATGGACATAGAAGCGGGCAGACCCCGACCTGCATCGTACGACGTCACGAGGCCTGGGAGTCCATCTACAAGCTCCTACCCCAGGAGGTCAAGTTCTGGCAAGATCAAGCCCACTCGCCTGCATTGACCTGGATGGCAAGTGGTGCCAGGGGCAAGGCTTTGACACCACAAGAAGTCGTAGCTCAGGGCTCGATGAGGGTTTGGAATGGAGAGCTTGGTGCCTGCTTTGGAACCAGGTGCAACAGGCCATACAGCAGCATCTTCATCGGCGCGAAGGGCAGCCAACAAGGAGAGGAAGGAGAACAAAAGAAGGAAGATTCAAGCAGAGAAAGAAGAACTAGCCAGCAGGGCAGGAGCTTCGTCCTCTGGTGGTGGTGGCGGCGATCGACACCATCAACAACATCAGAAGGGGAGAGGAAAGAAAGGAAAAGGAAAAGGAGGAGACGCATTGCGCTACAGCTGGAACAATGCACCGAGGCTGCCTCAAACCTTCAAGTCCACGCTGGGCGACGGCGCATGCCTTTTTTTGTTAACAACCCGAGGGTAAAATTTAGAGGAGGAACGCCGAAGAACTCCTAAGAGACTCGAAGCTGGCAGACAACCTCCAAAAAGTCCTTTCCTCACTCCTACTTCTCCTTCGTTAAGTGGGATGCGTTTTCTGCTCCCTCCCTTTGTCACTGTCTTGCTCTCTCCCTCCCGCTGGCTCTGCTGCTTCGTCCCTTGACCTTTCTGCTGCTCCTGATGGTTGTAAAGCTCTCGCAGAAAAAAACACAAAACCATTAGTCCGAAAAAAATCCGGAACAATCTCAATCCGTTTAATAATCCTGTTCACCTATTAAAAAACACGGGGTACCCCCCTGAAATCGAGGGGGTGGGTCACCTGGGAAGAGCTTCAAAACAAAAAAGTCATCCAGTAAAATGTTATAGTATTAAACTCGTATCAAAATCAATAACCTCCAGATCGAAGGGTCTTCCTTTTCCCCTACAAAAACCTTTATTAGAATACTGATTCTTCATTAGACGAAAGCTTTCGAAAGGTGATGTCGCTGTGCCATGCGATTTTGCGCGACCTCGGTGGCAAGTGCGTTTGCGTGAGTCCGTGCCATTGGGGGAAGGAAAGCCTGCTGGTGTAAACGCGGCGTGTCATTGTGGATAGACAGAGGTGGCAGTTACGGTTGTTGGTAGTTTAGTAGCGGCTTGAAAGGGCGGTAGTTTAAAAACAAATTTAGACTGTATTCAGAGTTTCGGACATGGTGTTTTCTTAATTCGGGTGGTTTTTTAATAGGTACTCGGGATTATTGTTTACATGGTTCTTATGTTTGTTTGATTTGGACCGGTGCCAGACAGGCTTTTTCAACACAACGTCATGTCGACACAGACATTCGATACCGAGGTCTTGACACTCTCCTATGGAGACTTAGTGGCGCCCGATGCCCTTTGGTGCGCAAGCGGTAAAGCTGTGTGTGCTGTGTGTGCTGGGTGAGTCTTCCAGTTGGAAACGGGAATCTAGGGACCCTCACAGAAGAGTGGTGGATCACCTGCGCACCACAGATGTGTATCACCCTCAGAGAACATATATGTTTGTGAAATTTAATGTGTTTTTTTTAATTTTTTTTGGTACTATATTTTGTTGTTCGTCAGGTCTTGAGTACATTACAGCCCCCAAATCAACGAGTTTTGTTTTTTTTTGCATCGAATTGAACGTATCCAAGTACACTTTCTTCGTGAGGGTATTGCAGCCCGATCTTTCATGAAAGGTTGGTTTTTAGAAGGGCAACCGAGGTCTTAATCTTCCAGGTGTGCCTCGGCATCCAAAAAATCCAAAACCATCCAGTGCTAGGTAGTCTTGCTTAGGCAGGGTGATGTGTGTTTTCCCTTCACCGGGTCACTCCCTTAAGATGGAGGCCTGCAAGGTGAAGATGGCCATGGGGGTTGTCCCAGGAATCCTTCATAGTGATCCCCCGCCTTAATAGAGAGTGGCACGCTGTCCAAGACACTTTCCAAGACATGTTTAGTGGGGATGTACCTTTCTATTTACTTGGGTGTTTGTAAATAGTGTATAACAGTCAACAGTCTGGAAACTAACTATTATCTTGATTTTTAGACAACAGCCTTCAACCTAAGCATCAGCATTCACTGGGCCCAGGGTGTTTGGGATATAGTATACAGTGGAGGTGCTCTCGTTGTGGAAGGTGTCGTGTAAAAAAATCATTTGTTTTTTGAAGATGTGATATACAGCCGGTTCGTCAGTCGTGCCCCCCCCGTGCAGGGAGTTCAAAGGCTCAGTGCTCAGCTGCAGGATGTAGAAAGGGTCAGCAGGATGTGTATTGGAGGCCTCTCACAGCGTTGAAGCAGGATGACTTCTTTGCAATTCAAAGGGCCAGGCAACCGAGGGCCGGGGGGGCAATGAATGTCTTGAGAAAACCTCTGAAAAAGAAAACACGT